CATGTACTCCTGAACAGACAGGTATTGGAACTATTGTTTAAATGTCACAACTTGTGCTTAGTTTGCTGGTAATCATTGCAAATACAACCTGTACTGAGGTCAGAAATGCCTCAAACATCTTATGGGGTGGAAAGGCTGCAGAAGTGCCACAGCACTTGTAAGCTTCACAGCTGTACAACAGCTTTATGCTTCTGTCTAATCTCAAGCTTTGCAAAGAGCTTAGACTTATTTTTGACATATAGAAGCTGAGGCAGTTTATGATGAAAACAAAGGTTTAGAAAATTGCATCTTGAGCAGAACTGACTCATCATATTTTGAGTGAAATGTATTTTTCAGCGTAGTGATTAGAGCTTGATTATGAAAGGACCAAATTAGATAGTTGTGACTATACATCATTATCAATAATGTCAATAGTTAACATTTTGTGCTTTCCAATCAATTCTAGTATCAGTCTTAAAATACCTTTACTATAATGCCATCATAATTAAACTATTGCAACTGAAGGTACTGGAATGTATCCATGTATCCATGAATTCACCACTGATATTACATTGATATGATCAATCTTTCGTCTTTGGTGCCCTTCACACCATTGCAGTCCCTCTGCCATTCTAACCAGCACCACTTGAAAGCCCTGTCTGGACACTTTATGTCAGACATTATACACTGCTATGGGACACAGAGGTTCTGAAGGTGGAAACGTGTTTCCAGTCTGAGAGACAGGAAGGATGTGCTTTTCACATATTCAAACAGACACGTCTGTGTACCTTTTGCTAATGAACGGGCTGTGTGTCTGCCTGCAGGACCAGAACTTGGGGATGGGCACATGGGTGGATTGCTTTCACAACGCAAACTTTAGTTGAATGCCTTGGCTCAACGATCTGGGGCATCCCAACGAAACTGGGGGCTTTTTGGGAATTCGGACTTCAGGATGTACTCTGTATAAATGCAGCTTCTGACACAGTATTCTTATTAAATGTGAATAAATCTTTAATTTACTCCACCGTGTCCAATTATTCTGTTTTGTTTCACCTGGTTTGTAAAAAAACAACAACATATATATGAGATAAATGTGGTCATGATTTGTGAAATGACTGAAGAGAATGTATTGTCTCTGATAATAATGCTTGGTAAAGTAGAGATACAAGACCCACGCCGAGAATACGCCAGTTTCGGCCATACATTCTGCTCATTTATAAGGCAGGCTGCGAAATTTGCGCGGATAATGTCTTTCATTTCTCCCATCGAAGGGGGAGGGGACTGATAGAGGAGAGAGGGGAGAAGGGATTTAACATAGTGAGAAAGAGAAAACGAGATAGTGTCTTCAAGATGGATAAAAACGAGTAAGTAGCCGCATCATCTGAACGGTAACGAGCTCGTCAGCAGGGCATTGTATTGTAACCGTAGGGTTCAGTGCGCGATATGTTGTTTTCATAACGTTTATCATCGGTTAGGCTTGTCTCGTATTTGCAAATAGCAGTGCTGTGGTCATCAGCTAGGAATAGCGGTCTTTTCTGTAGTAGCACTGTAGTATGTTTAATTTTCCTTCTGTTTCCAGCTACAGTTGAATCAAGCGTGGACTACGTGTGCTTTTTTCGACATAGATCTTAACCTCACAAAACATTTTCCCGCATGTTACAATCACAAAGCCAATACAGTTAAATGCATGACATGCTTTTAAAATGGTGTCCGTGTTTGATCGATGAAATGTACTTTGTTCATTCATAAAAGCCGGCTCCAAATCTGAATGACAACGGCAGGCATTGTGGTGAAACGGCTTCAGTTTGACGTAGCTGACATGAAACCTTAACATCTTGGTTCTAGTGGAGAACTACATGTGAAGTATGGTGCTTCACTGCAGCTTGTACATTCACACTGCGGTGTCCATGTTGTCACCGAACCTGCGTGATTACTATTTGTTCCAGTAACCTTATTTTTGTTTCCCTTATGTTAACATGGCTGTCGAGCTAGCAGCCTGCATCAAGCTACAGCTAAGAGAGTGACACTTAGGGGATAACATTTCAAAACAAGACTGACGACCAAAGTGTAGCCTGCTGTTATTATTATTATTAGTAGTATTAATAGGATTCTGAAAAGTATCTAATAACTGAAGTTAGCAAATAAATGTAGTGGATTAAAAAGTACCAGATAGGCTACTTGAGTAAATGTACAGTAGAGTACTTATTTAGCTTTACAGTACTGTTTTATTTATCAAGAAGAGCTTAAATAAGGCACTTTCCACAAATAGGACATTTACATGAGGCTACAATAGTTTAAAAACAGGAAACATGACAATTCATAATAATAAAAATAACAATATGATATAATAGCCTTTATATGAAGAGTAACTCTGCAGGTTTTTTTTTTTTTGACTCGTGGTGTTATATAGAAAACAGAGATTTGTTGTAGCTGCTTCATTTTAATGTTGAACATTTTATGCAGCCCACACCTCTGCATTAAAAGTTAAATCAGTCTATATATCCTGTGGGTCAAGCAGCCCTATTTAATTTAACTCAATCATAGGTTCTTCAATAACACACCAACACCCCCTAGTAAAACACTAAAATGAGGGAACCCATAAAATAATAATAATGCAGTAGACGTTTATAATAAGATTTTGTGAATCTATAGTAGGAAATTCACAAACTACCTACTAACAGTAGGACTAATTCAGATGATAAGCATATAGTTCTAACTTAACTAGCTGCAACAAATAATTGATGTACTCAATAATACATCAATGCAATAATATCTATAAATGTGAAATGTGCCATTCTGCATAATGTGTATTTTATTTTTGTTACTTCTACACGAATCCTTTAAGTAAAATTTTGAATACAAGACTTTTACTTATTAGTGGATTATTTATAACCAACCCTACAGTATTGTTACTTTTACTTAGACCTAAATAAAGAATCCGAGTACCTCTGGTTTTACCTCTGCTACACTTGATGCTTTGACTCCATAGACGGAATAGTTTAGTCCGTGACAAACTAGGTGCTTTTATTCTGAGGTCATTATTTACAACTTCCTGTGCTGTCCTGGCTCCCGCACGGATTCTTGACGTAGCAGTGCGGTGCTATGTTTTCCTTGCGGATGTATCTAACTCCCGCGCTTTGACGAGATACTCAGGTAGTGATAAGGCTGAGGTCCGCGGCGGAGCGATCTGTGCGACGACAAAGAGATGAGATGTTAGCAGCAGGAGATCTCATTACAGAGGACGCATGTTGTGATCTGGTCGAAACAAAAGTATAAGAAGCGATAGGCCTGTCATCCAAAACATCGACACATTTCCTAAAGGCCAGTTGGTAGTAGTAACTTTTAGTGGATTTATAGGCTACTCGCGTGGGAAATGGAGAAGAAAAGGTGGGATTGCACTGCTCTCCCCAAAGGCTGGAAAATGGAAGAAGTGACCAGAAAGTCGGGTTTGTCGGCTGGAAAAAGCGATGTCTATTATTTTAGGTACTAAAACGAAAGAGGGCTTGCAAAATTTCTAGGTGCACAAGACACCGGTTTTGCGAACAAAAACAGACAGGAGTATGATTTAAATGGGGGGGAAGGTGGTCGGTATTAAAGTTTGGGATGTGAAGGGGAGGGGGGCCTGTTTGCAGCAGGACAAGGCCACCCAGACCAGCTCACCTCTCTCAGTTGCTGGGATAAGGAGGGGTCTAGTAGTAGAAGCTCACGCCTGGCGAGGCCTCTGATAAATAAAACTCAGTGTCATCTCAAGTTAATACTCTTTATTTCCCAATGAAGTGAACCAACAACGCCAGATTTGTTTTCATTTAGCAGAGGAGAAGAGCAAGATGAGGAACAGAGGCAAGAGAGGGGGGAGGCGGGTCGGTTGTATAGTTTGTGGTAGGCTAACTGTACAATCATACTGGTGTTAACTGTGGTTTGTGATGTAAGATACATTTGCATGAGTTATTAGCACGTATCCACCCACAGTTGTCATTGCTCAAGCTAAATATATTGTTGCACCCACAAGTGGATCTACAATGTTTCCATTCTGAAACATTTGGTCAAAGTGTGACTATTACCATGTGTACATTGTGCTCACTGATTCCTAGAGGTTATTTGAAAGGCTGTATATATGATGGTGTTGACTGTGCATTGTTTATAATCCTACTAAAAGTGTGCAGCATTTGATAGATGCTAGGGCTTAAACAGAGGATTCATCATTGCACCCTTTTCACACAGTAATGTGATCAGTGTCATTGCTCATTTGAATGTGCTCAGCTTCTGTTTGCTTTTAACCTACTGCATGTTGTGCTCTGGGTTTGTACTTTTCTGTGTGTTATGTTTTTGAAACTTTTAAGTTTTGTGTCTCTGGCTTCACCTTTCTGACCTGTTTGGTTTTGTAAGAGGTGATATTAGTGTAGTGGTTTCTGACATCCATCACTGCCTCCCCCTTTGCCAGTCCATCTGGGAAGAAGTTTCGGAGCAAGCCTCAGTTGGCCCGTTACCTTGGTAACCAGATGGACCTCAGCTCCTTTGATTTCCGCACGGGGAAGATGCTGATGAGCAAGCTGAACAAGAACCGCCAGAGGTTGCGATACGACAACAATAACCAGAACAAGGTGAGATGAAACAGACTTACAATAGGTAACTGCAATCTGTCTCCTGATGGGGGCTTGGACACTGTAGCTCTGTCCCTGTTGCTCTCTGGGTGCTGTATGTTGTGCATTAAATTTGCTATGTGCCATTTTATTTGAGCGTCAATCTCAGTGGAAAGTGTAGCTGTGCTTTAAATGCTCCACAGAAGACACGACATGTCCTGTGCTATTTGTTAACAATCTCACAATGTGATGCTGCACATTTAACCGTGGTAAAAAGTTAGTGGCATAGAGCTACAAAATGAGTAGAATCATAAGTGTTTACTGCTCCTTAGAGGGAGATGAGTGAATAGTCAGCCCTGTGATATACTAGTGACCTGTCCAGGGTGTACCCTGCCTCTTATCCAATGTAAGCTGGGATTGGCTCCAGCCCCCCGACCCTCTTCAGGATAAGCACTATAGATAATAGATGCATGTGAGTGAATAAGGGAGTTCGTTTAGCTAAGTCTATGATTTGTATGAGAACACTGCATGCAGGTGGAGGTAGCTGTGTTAAACCGGAGTTAGAATATGTGTAAACAGATGAAGCTCAGAAGGTAATACACCCTCATATAAATGTTGAATACAGAGCAAAACCAGTGTCGGTGGAGTCGAGATTCTAATCTCTTTGATGGTTCTGGGTGCAACCTAAACACCTGAGCAACTAAAATGCTGAGCAAGCTTTTAATATAAATGTATCTGTTTATTGGACAATCATTGAGAATATCTGTATTCACCAGCCACTTTATTAGGTACACCTGTACAGTTGTATGCAATTCAGTGCAACACATCCACCATAACATCTGTGTTTATGAAGCTCAAAATTGACCTTATAGTTGAAGGTGGTGGCGTACTGGACTGTATTATATTTAGAGACATCTCTATATTTTTGTCCTCCTCAGCTAGGTATATGAGAGGGTCACAATATTAGGAACACCTCTGAATAGCCCCAGCTTTCCTACAAACGTGCTTTTTAAAGATGTCAGAAAGCCGTGCTTGGCATACCTTAGTAATTTTGCTCGATGCCTTGACAAGACAAGTTTTCTTTTGCTGGACAAGCTAAGTTTTCCATACCACACCACAATACAAAAAGACAAATCAAAATCAATAAAACTGTGATAAACCAAAGTCATCATGGCTGCACAAACATAAAAAGAATAGATCTTCCTTAAAAAGTATAAGGTTCATTTCCTATGAACTATATCATGTTGATCATATTTCAATATGCTGTCTATAACTGTCCAAAGAAATTTATGACTGTCCACCATAGCAATTTCATAGTCTTCTATCACGGATAGTGTAGTACAAGATTTCTTAAAATCAACAGTCATGTCCTTTATTTTGTTGATAATGAGATGAAGGAAACACTAAAACACAATCTTTAATTATAGTATCATGGCCCTGTTGATGCTCTTGTAAAAGACTGACCATCCACATTTCACAATATGCTGACTTTTGTGCATACTTTGTCAGTCCTTAGTGTATAAAATATGATGTATAGGGAACAAACAGCACCCTTGTGGAGAATCAGTAGAGGAGTGCCTCACCTTAGAATAGGTACCATTAACTTTGACACATTGCATCCTACTGGTTAAAAAGTCCATGATCCACCCAAATTAAATTTAAATCAAGAGAGACAAAAGGTTTTTTCCTGAAATAGATAGCTGGATAGTATTAAAAGCATTTGAAAAATCTATAAATAAAAGCCTAGCACGCCTCCCAAGATGTTTGAAGAGGAAATTTAGTAAAGTGAGAGAAGCATCCTCCACTCCTCTCCCTGCCCTGCATGCCCTGTAAATCTACCAGACGTTCGCTACATGTCAAAGCTGGAGAGACTCAGATCTAGGATGAGGTTTATCCATTATGAAAATAGTTAATACTAAAAAGTGCCCTATGGATGGGGGGTACTGCTGTCCTGGAAGAGGCCACTCATATATTTAGGATTTTTTTTTTTTTTATTTATCACTGTCTGTACGTTTGGTGTCTCAGATGAGCCTATTATTTGAGAATTTTCAGTCAGGATTTAGAGTCCATCATAATACAGAAACCGCATTGGTGAAAGTCACCAATGATCTCTTCCTAGACTCAGACAAAGGACTTGTCTCCATACTTATCCTCATAGACCTCAGTGCTGCTTTTGACACCACTGATCACATCTTATTACAGAGACTGGAACATGTCAGTAGGATTTAAAGGCACCGCACTAAATTAGGTCAGTTCTATTTTTTTTTTTTATGATAACAGTACTACTAATACAATCAACTGGTTACATTTTTGAGGTTGGTGGGAACGTGCATGGCCTCAGCCTCAGGTGTTTGGTTCAAGTTTAAATGTGTTAGAAATGGGTTCCATGTGTCATAAAAAGCTGATAAACTATTCTTGTGAGTGGATGTCATTTTCTCTAATGTGATGTATTATATCAGAAGGTTGGTCCAGTGGTTTATGTGTAGTGATTTTTTTTTTTTTTTTATTTCCAGTTTTGAAAGATTGTTTTT